TCACTGTCCAGAGTTTCAGGCAAGGGATATTCCAACCTGCTAGAAGATGTCAGCGATTGAACCTGGAACCTTCTGCATGCAAAACAGATGCTCCACTACTGAGCTGTGGCCATTTTCCTAAGCCACAGGAAGTTGCCTTATACTGAATCAGCTAATGGTCCATGTAGCTCAGGACAGCCTGTGCTGATTGGTTGTGACTCAACCTCTTTGCCAGTCCTACCTGGGGATTTGAACCTAGGACCTTTTGTGTGACAACTCCTGATTAATTTCATTTTAAAAATAAATAAGGGTGCAATGTTTAGCTGACTGATGGAAATGTTTTTGATTGATGAATGCAACCAATCAACCAAATAGGTTCCCCTGATTAAATTGACCGTTACATTGTGTGGGGGGAAGGAATGCAAATCATTTTTAATCTACATACTAATAAAAACTGCCCATCTTAGAAGATGCATCCGCCTTTGGAATAGGGAGGGCATACCTTTCCGAAGATGACGTCTGCTTTGAGTTTATAATTCAGGCATTCCCTGCCCCCTTCATAGCTGTCATTTTATTTACACTAAAGTTCTTTTTGTATGAGAGTGTTTTTCACCCCAAGGGCCACATTCCTTTTTTGACAATCTTCCAGGGGCCATATGCTAGCAGTGGGCATGGCCAGATGCAAATATGGGTGGAGCAACAGGCATTAAATTTATCTCGTTTCTAGACACACACACACACCCTCCCTATTCTCCCTCAAGAGAAGCAAGGGACATCATCACAACTCAAGGATGTGATGATGTGATGCAGGGTGTGAAGCAAGGCCAGTGAGGGGTGTGGCCTGAGAAGAGGAGTGTGGCTTGGGAGAATTCCAAGGGCCAGACAGAGGGATGTGGTGGGCCACATTTTACCTCCTTGGGCCTGGGGTTCCTCGTCCCAACTTAATACATTTCCATTAACATCTATTCACAGTCATAGGATTCATCCGCTAAGAATTATTTAACTGGGCAACTGCTCTAGAAATAAGCGGCAGTGTTAGGGAGTGAGTATCCTACCCACCCCTTCAGAAAGCCCATAGTTGGCTGTGTTGCTGGGGCTTTGCAAGGGAGTGGATTGTCGGGGGTGGGGGTAGGGGGGTGGGAATGGCGTTTAACATATCTTTCCCTGGATTAAAGGAACAGATTTACATCTCTGAGAAGAGCATTTTGAGAGATTATCCAACTCAAGACTTCTGCGGGGCTTGTCATCTTGCATCCTCTTTTCCACTAGGGTCTATTTAAATACGAGCGATCAGAAACTAAAAATAAGTATCATGGCATAGGCAGGCAGACAAGGCAACTCCTCCACTCCCAGCTTCAAGCGTGAGGCACACCACAAACCCCACCCTCTGCTGCAAGGGGTGGGGAACATCAGGCTTGGGTACTGAAAGCGGCCTTCTAGTCCTATCAGTCTGGCCCTTAGAACTCTCTGCAAGCCACCCCCCGGCCCGCAAAGGCTCTTCTCCTTACCGCCATCCCATGTTTTTGCCTGGCTGGAATGTGGCCTTAAATACTGAAAATGCCTCTTGCATATCTGGGTGGAGGAAACAGGGGAGTTGTGTGAGTGCCCTAGCCTACTGTAAAAAGGTAAAGGTAAAGGTATCCCTGACCATTAGGTCCAGTCGTGACTGACTTTGGGGTTGCGGCACTCATCTTGCTTTATTGGCTGAGGGAGCTGGCGTACAGCTTCTGGGTCATGTGGCCAGCATGACTAAGCCGCTTCTGGCAAACCAGAGCAGTGCACGGAAACGCCGTTTACCTTCCTGCCGGAGCGGTACCTATTTATCTACTTGCACTTTGACATGCTTTTGAACTGCTAGGTTGGCAGGAGCAGGGACCGAGCAACGGGAGCTCACTCTGTCGTGGGGATTCATACCACTGACTTTCTGATCGGCAAGTCCTAGGCTCTGTGGTTTAACCCACAGCACCACCTACGTCCCTCTGGCCTACTGTACGAAGGTTAATTTACACCAGTTAGTCCTCCTGCTGTTGCCTCTGGCCCCCGCACCACTGGCATGTGGCCCCCAGAAGGTTGCATAGAAGCTAGCGCAATCCTTGGTCTGGGGGGCGGGGAAGGTTCATTTGCATGTGTTGATCTTGCCACCCCTCAAAAAGAGCAACTGCATGTTCTCCCTGGTAAGCAGTACTCTTTAAATACCACCACCAATTTTCAGGAGCAAAAAACCCACAAACCTGTCTTGCTGGATAACTGCAGTTTCACAATGAAAAAGGCTTATCTGTGGTGGGTGGAGGTGGGGAGAAGGTCTGATCTTCTTCCTACAAATCTAATTCCATCTAGAAGAGGACTGAAGCTTTAATCCTGGCACATATCCACAGAATCATAGAACTGTAGTGTTGGAAGGGAACACAAGGGTCATCCAGCCCAACCCCTTGCAATGCAGCAAATCTTAGCTAAACAATCCCTGACAGATGGCCACCCAACATACCTCCAATGAGATGGGTTTTTGTGATTTGATGGTTGTATATTGTTCTCATTTCATTTCAATAACTTACAGTGAGTACTGCTTAATAAAACAAAATCTCTAAGCCAATGACAATTATAAGCTCACAAGCGAAAAGTCAGTACACAATATCAAAATGCAATTTTAAAAGATGGTAAAACAGCAAAACAATATTGAAATGCTGGAATTATGCATGTGGGCTGCTGCACTAACCTGAAGAAAAGTCATAGTGACCCACGACTCCGGCAAGTGACCGACAGCAGATGCAAGAGACTTAATCTCTTGTACAGTGGTACCTCTGGTTATGTACTTAATTCGTTAAGGAGGTCCGTACTTAACCTGAAACTGTTCTTAACCTGAAGCACCACTTTAGCTAATAGGGCCTCCTGCTGCCGCCGCGCCACCGGAGCACGATTTCTGTTCTCATCCTGAAGCAAGGTTCTTAACCTGAGGTACTATTTCTGGGTTAGCAGAGTCTGTAACCTGAAGCGTATGTAACCGGAAGTGTATGTAACCCGAGGTACCACTGTACTTTTATTGCATATTTCCTTTGTATTCATGTGCTGTTCACTGGTCCACAAAGGAGAATATAAATAAAATGTCACGTAATTTAGCGGCATTTACTTTTGAGCATAGACAAATATGGGGTGGTGCTGTTCACTGTCTATTATAAAAGGAACACGGCCAGTTTAAAGGAGGGGCAGCAGAGAGCAAAGTGTGATGGGAAATGCAAAAAAGGGACACTTTAAATAGTTACACCCGTACCTTAAATGACTGTGCAGAAGGGGAAATTTCAGCAGGTATAACTTTTATTTATTTATTGTTGCATGTATACCCCACCATTTTCTCCAAGGCGTTAAAGGTGGCATACATGGTTCTCCCTCTCTCCATTTTATCCTCCCCCTGTGACTCAGAGATCGTGACCGGCCTATGGTTATCCTGTGGGCTTCATTCATGGCAGAACGGGTATTTGAACCTTGGCCTCCCAAGTCTTAGTCAGATACTCTAAGGACTACAGCACTTGCCAGGCAAACTGCACCTACATCCCTCCAGAACATACAATCATAGAGTTGGAAGCGAGAACCAGGGTCACCTAATAGTCCAACTTCCTGCAATGCAGGAATCTTTTGCCCAGCATGGGGCTCAAACCCACAAGCCTGAGATTAAGAGCCTCCTGCTCTGCTGACTAATATTGGACTCCAACTCTCCTCCTAGGAAATTGCCTGATATGGAGACAGATCTTTTGGTTCACCTAGCTCAGCGTTGTCTCCTCTGACTGGCAGTGGCTGAGGCAGGGAATTTCCCCCACTCCAACTAAAGGTGGTCAGGGAGTGAACATGAGACATTTCGCATGCAGGGCAGGTGCTCTGATAACTAATCGGCTGTCCTTCCCTTAAGACCCAGGCAGACCACTGGTCCCCCTACCCCAGTATTGACTGCACTGACTGGCAGCAGCTGTCCAGGATTCCGGACAGGGAGTCTTTCCCACCCTGAACAGATATTGCTGGGCATTGGACATGGGAACTTCTGCACCCAAAGCCGGTGCTTAACCACAGAGCAACAGCCCTTCCCCAATCACCAAGACAATTCTGCCTCTGGGCAATGCCCCCCCCCCCCCCTTTCCAGGATGATTTCTGAAACCTTGAGCTCAAACAAAGTTCTTTGTTCACACTCTCACCCCCTCCCCAAGATTGGGTGGCTGAGTTTATTCGGGCATTTTTGCACTACTCTGCTTCTGTTACCCCCACTAAAACAAAAAAAAACCTCTGGAGCTGAAACTGACGGATGCGGGGGAGAAGAGCGTGCTTCTAACACCCACCCATCCCTCCTGAAACTGACAGCTTGTTTTTCCCGGGAAGAATAAAGGTAGGGGGTGGGGGAGAAAGAGAAGTCGCCTTCTTTTCCCAAGACCCTCCTTCCCAATAATTCCTGCCATCCTCCTCTGCCTTCTCCCCAACCCCGCTTCGCTGTGCCTTGGGGACGGCCTGACTGCTCTTTTTATTTATTTATTTATATACATATAATCAAAATCTGGGCTCGAACTGAGCACGTGGAGAGGCGCTGAGCCCTCCTCCTCCTCCTCCTCCTCCAGCTGCTGCGCTCTCTCTGGTAATGCTCAAAATCTGTAATTTCGGAGAAGGTTTATTTTCGGCCACCAGCTTTGTACGGATCTGCTTTTTTATGTTTAAAGAAGAATAACGGGAGAAGGAGAATAATTTCGCCTTCTTGGAGAAGGGGAGGGAGGGAGGGAGAGAGAGAGAGAGCCATGTGGGGCAGGGGTGCCATTTTTAGGGCGCGCGTTGCCTTTGGCATCCAGGGAAGGCGCCCCTCTGAGCGGAGCGGGGCAAGGCAGGGCAGCCAGGTAGTGCCTGTCCCGGAGTAGCTCTTCATCCCTCTCTCGCTACCCCGGCTCCAACTCCGGGGCGATGGTGGGAGCTGCGCGGTCGCCTTGGCGGCCACTGAGCCACTTGGCGTGAGGAGGACTTGCTCTCTGCCAACTTCCTCCCTGGGCAGGAGAAGGACCAGTCTGTGGATGCTCTCGGGAGGATGACGACGTTACCCCATCGCAGGATGCGCCGCCGCCGCTGCTGCCCAACCGGGATTTGCCAACTTCTCCTCGTCTGAACAGCGCTGGGGACCTATCTAAACACACACACACACACACACACACACACACGTATATAGGAAAAGATGGAATTTTTGACCTGGGTTTTGCCTTCCTTACTCCTGCTCTGCACCCAACAGCACACCTGCACCAGGTAAGAGGAGCAAGCGCACCGTGGCAAGCGACTCCCTTCTCTAGTTAGAATGGGGTTTGTTGCTTTATTATTTTAAAAAATAGGTATCTAAAGGCAGCGATCCCAGCTGGGAGGATGTTTGACTGAGCGCAGGGAAACTTCTCTGACGAAGGCTTTGGGCTGCAAGCCCCAGGCGCGCTTAACTCAAGAGGAAGGCGGCTGGAGCAGAGCGGGACTCACTCCCGAGGTAGGGTTGCCTAGTGGTTAGGCTGCACGCCTGCCATCCTAAGCGCCCTGGAGGCGCGATCCTGTGCGCGTCAGCCCGGAAGCCGAGCGTTGCAGAGGTCAGCGGATGGGTCTGAAGGATCTCCCAGCTTTACAGGGCAAAGTGGGGCTTGCTTCTGAGGACCCTAGTGCTGAGTATTAGGAGGCGGGTGGCGGGGGGGTTGTTTCTTTTAATGCAAGATCCAGCAAAATTGCAACTCATCCTGGGACAGGGATGCGGAGCAGCTGTGGCCCTACGGGTGTTTGCTGGACCCTGCCGGCCAGCAGCCAGCGTGACCAACAGTCAGCGGTGACCAACATGGGCAGGGGGCAATGGCCTCCCCATCCTCGTCCTAGGGTGACCAAGAGAAAGGGCTGGACCACCGGCCTTCTTAGCTCTTAAATAGTTGTGTAAGGAGAGGGGGATCCTCTCCCCCGCATGCCTCCAGCCCCTGCGCTGAAAATGTCTTTTTTTCGGCGCAACTCTTAAAAAGTACAGGAGTTCCTTCTTCCTTTACTTCCGACCGTCGCTGGGCCTATCCCAAAGTAATCATGGGGGACCGAGGATTCGAGTTAATGTTAGCTCAGGAATCTCTCTTCCCCCTGCCTTGTGCCAGAGAGCTTTCCTATTACAGGCTGCCTCTGGGGTATGTGCAGAGTGTTTATGAGATTTCGACGAGCTCCTGCACCATGCGAGCTGGGAAAGGAAAGTACACGGCGTACAACTCTCTCCCCCGACCCCCGTTAACAAAGGCTCTCAGCCCATCCTATGTAAGTTCAGTAGGAAAGTCGCACTGGGGTTAAAATGGGGGTTCCCTCCCAGTTGGAGGGGCTGGTTGGCTTGCATCACCCTGCCCTAGGGTGCGCTTGGCTGGGGGTATTATTTCCCCGTTTGCAAGAAAGCATTGCGCGCAGAAGTGAACTGTACGTCTGAAGTGTGCGCAATAAAGGACGGTAATAACGCACCCGGAGATAAACACAGATTGATGTACGTACACACCCCTCATCCCTTTTACCAACGAGGATGAGAACGAGGGGCTTGAAGAAGAAAAAGAGAGAGGGGGGGAGGGAGGGAGGGAGAGAGAGAGACCAGACTTTGCTGAGAGTTCCCCCGCACTGGGAGGCGAGATTCGCACTCGGGAATCGCCGCTGCAGATCTGTCTGCAAGGCTTTGGAGTTTTGCCCTCAAACGGATGCCCCTCTTGGGTCTTCCCAAGGGCGGCGGATGAAGGTTGCACTGATCACTTGGCAGGGGAGAGGAGGAGGAGGTTTTCTGCAGTAGAAGAGAGAATCATCAAAATATGCCCTACTTGTTAGACAGGAGGGAACCGGGGATCTCCCTAGAGAGTTCATCCAAGGGGTTGGGTATCACTTTAAGGAGCTATGGACCAGAGCTTAAAATATATATTCATTTTCTTCCTAAATGTGGGTTGTGCCCTACTGAGAGTAGGCTCAGTGGGTTGTATGCAACTTTACTCCTGCTCAGGGTAGACCCTTTGGAATGGCTAGACATAACTTTGTCCCATTCATTTCAGTGTGTCTACTCTGAGTAGGACTTAGTTGAATCCAAACCTTTGCTGAAAGCCCCCCCCCCCGCTCCCCCTTTCTGTTTCTCCATAGCTATCTGAAGTTGAGGTAGGAAACACTCAGTGCATGCTCAAAGACAGCCAGAGGTGATCAGATCACATAGATAGACGGTCTCCCTTCCTCTGCCCTTTTCAAAAGGTGCAGTCCTATATGCAGTATTTCACTCTGAGTAAGTCTGGGGCTTGCTTCTGAGTAAACCTGTGCCAGACGGGACAAGGGAAGCAGTGTTACATTTACACTTCTAATAATAAACTAATGGTCCATATAGCAATTATTATAGTCACATTCAGTTGTGTCCTATATTAGTGCCACTTGGAGCTGATCCACTTAGGTCAATTAATTTCTATGGATCCCATCCTCATTTACATTTGACTACCCTGGGGAGGTGGGGGTGTTCTAGCAAATGTTTTTGCAAACTTAACTCCCTGGACCCTGGAGGCTGGGATATGTTTTGATGTAAACATGATAATAGCAATGGGGTTAATACTATTCTGTGGCGGGGGGTGGTGGCTTTTTAGATTGTAATGTGTATTACTTTGAAAAGTGCTAAGCCAGATGTGTTTGGGGCTCTCAAAGTCTTCCTTCTGAGAGGAGGCCCTGGACTCTGCTCAAAAGTCCTTCCCTGGTGGTGCCAACTGCTGATTACAATTCTGTAGTGAAATCTGTCTACTATACAGGACTTGGGATCTATAACCCAATGGTGCACTTGGGGACCCATTTCTTAATTTTTAAAAATTGGTAGTATGTTGGTGGTACTGCTTTTGCAACCCACCTTAGGTCAGGCTGCGATCTGGTAGTGGGTCCTAACCCACCAATTCGAAACCAGTCCTTTAGACAACTAGAACATCCAGCTAGGTGCAAGTTCCTTAAACAGGTTGTGCATTTTTAAATCTGAAAGCAGGGTATGTATATGCGATCAGTTGGATGCGTGTGGCAGTTGAGACTCTTGCTTGACCTCTGGGACAGGTTATGATGAGGAAGGCCAAAAGGTGTCGAGAAACAAAATGGACCCATTTATGGTGTGTCTGTCCATTAACTGCAGGCAGGTGTGCACATGAGCACACTTGATAGGTGAAAATCTCTCTTGTCTGCAATTGGAGGTGGCATTTCTTCGGATGCTGTTAACTAGGCAACAGCCATGGAGCTTTTCTGGATGTGGATATGGTAGGAGAAAGCAATTTGATAATGCAGTGGAAACTGAGATGGGGAGGGGGGTGTCAGCTCATAATGCAGTGGAAGATTCTTGTGGGGTGTTATTATATTACTAATCTACACCTAGGTCAATCTTGGTATTTCAGGGCTGACAAGATGGGCAGGGAAGAGTCCCCCGTGATATTTGTAATATTTTCCTTCTTTGTTTTGTTTTATTTTTTGCAAGGAGGGAATGTTGTTCTAAAAGGAGCATCAGAAATAAAAACAAGGAAGAGTTTTATTGATTCAGCATGTTTTGGATCCTTTTGAGCCATCTTCATGGAAATTCAGAGAACAGTGGTTCAAAATTCAGATAATAATAACAGTGATGGTCACCGACTTAGATGGCTTCTGGTTCGTCTTGGGGGTCCCTATCTGAAAATCTGTTTTCCCAAGTAATTTTTTGTTTTGTTTTGTTGACTGAAGCAGGAGAAGAACAGAAATGCAAATTGCTCTGGCTGCACAGATTTAAACCAGCCTATCAAGGTCAAAGTTGACAAACCCCAAAAGACAGCACAGAATGGCAGGCATATATGCAAATACTTGACATGGCAGCAGGAGATTTGGGAGAAGGATCAAGAAAATGGGTTGACTCCAACAAGGTTCTACTCACAGGAGTCCTATTTAAATTAACAGAACACTGTTAGTCATGTCCATTAACTTCAATGGATCTCCTCTAGGTAGGATTGGCACTGGATACAACTCAACAAGATTAAATACTGTCCACATTGTATGATGATAAATTGTATTCAAGTCATGTGTTGTTGTCCATCCCCCCCCCATTTAATATTAAATAAAAATAAAGGTCAGGCTTAGCCAACAGCCATCTTGCACAAGAGGGTATTGAGTTTTCTCTCTCTGCCCCCACCTCACAGCACAAGTTATGAACTGCTGGTTTAGGATGCCGGAGTGGATTACACTGGTAACACAATCACCCTCGCACAGGCGAGAAAGCTTTCATTTTTCAAAAAAGAGGGATGCACAGAGAGTGACGAAATGCACAGCTAACCCAGTGCTTTTTAATAGCTAGTGTTGAAGGGGGAATTTTAGTGAGAACCACTTCCCCCAGCCCACCACTGCGTGACAAGCTGCAGGAGCCAAGTTAGGATTTAGCAGTGCAATCCTCTCTGTCTGTACATCATTTAGGAGCATTTAGAAGTCCTGCTGAGTTCAAAGAGACTTACTCTTAGTGTAAGATTGAAGTCTTTAGATTTGGGATTTTGATTCCTGTTAACAAGGAGAAAACTTTAGGATGCTTTTATTAACCACAGTTAAATGCTACAGGGCTTTCCAAAGGGCGGAACATCTCTCCCCTCAAAGCTTTAAGGGTTGTGTGTATCCAACTAAGTCCTACTCGGAGAAGACCCAGTGAAGCTAATAGACCTGTTAGTTATGTCTGTTAGGAGTAGCACTGGATGTCACCCTAAGCAGTTTGCAAAGCAGAAACCCTAAAATCACAAGGCTGGACTACAAATTGAGATTCCTGCATTTCAGGGTGTTGGACTAGATGGCCATTGTGGTCCCTTCCAACATTTCTATGATTCTATAAATCAAATGAAAACACATACTGGGTTGTAGCCAATTCTAGTCTTACTCAAGGCAGACCCACTGAAGTTGATAGACATGACTAACTTGGGTCCATTAATATGAATGGGTCTACTCTGAGTAGGGCTTAGATAACCCACTGCCAGCAAAAAAAAAAAAAAAAATCCAGTATCAAACTGCTAAAGCAGAATACTGAACTGTCCAATCTAAAAATTAACAGTCCTGAAATGCCTGAACAAACTGTACCCAGGCAGGCATTGCCAGCCCAATTGTTCCAGAGGACAGGCTCTCAAAAAGCAATTTAAAAGTTCTAGTCAATATTCTTTGGTTATATTAAATAAGTGCTGCTCTGGGAAGATCATGAAATGACCATTCGTCTTTTGACAGCAGTTCATACTGTAGGAGGATATGTCAGGCATGGAAAAAGCCGTACTTTCCCAAAGTCTGGCTGCTTAACTCTGGCGTGCTCTGGTCCATGGGGTCATGAAGAGTCGGACACGACTAAACGACTAAACAACATACAGGCCAAACAAGCAGGGAAGGGAAGGGAAGGGAGACGATGGGATGATAACGCCATAAAACAAGTAGAGTTTTAAGTTATTGGAATTCAAGAATGCAGTGGATATATATTATTGTGGGAGAGATAAACATTGTGAATTTGGAGGTTTATTTTGTAGTGGGAACACCTTCTGATCTGATTGATTTGTTGAGCTTAATCAGTGCATCAAACAGAAGGATTTCGTTTAATTACATATGAGCAATGATATCGTTTATGACATATTACTTGAAATTAACAATAGGTTGTATCTGGTGCTAGTTATGTTATATTTAGAGCAGAACTAGTGAAGTTAACAGATATGTCTAATTTGGGTCCATTGATTTCAGTGGGCCCATTCTGAACAGGACTCAATTAAATTCAAGCCTAAGTATCAATTATTGGTATCTCATTTATAGAATCATAGAATCGTGGAGTTGGAAGGGACCCAAGGGCCATCTAGTCCAACCCCTTGCAATGCAGGAATCTTTTGCCCAAAGTGAGGCTCAAACCCATGACCCTACGCTTAACAGTCTCATGCTCTAGCGACTGAGCTAGCCCAACAATTATGTACGTATTCAAAATAAATTCATGGCAAAATAAAATGTTATTGTAAACCTAAAGCACAGGTTGGGGCCAAGAACTTCATGCCAGGAGCCAAATGTAGCCCCCCAGGCCTCTCCCTCTGGTCCTTGGTATTCTCCCTAGGCCATAGCCCTCACTGACCTGCCTTCACACACTCCTTGACTATATTTGCCGGGCCGGGACTCAGATAATGCTTCTTGCTTGCCTAGATGGAAGGCAGAAATGTGTGAGCACGTGCAGAGAGAAGCCGATGGTGCAAAAGGAGCATTTAATCTGTTGCCCTACCCCCCTTTGCCCGTGACCCCGCCCACCACTGGCATATGGCCCTCAGAACGTTTCTCAAAAAGCTAGGTAAGCTGGAAAGCTTTTCCTTCCCCAGCCGCACCTAAAGCTGTGCATAGCCCAGTACTTTCATCACTTTTGCCTCCCCTCTGAATCAGCTCAGGAACTTCACTCATCTCCTGAGACCCTTCCTGTGGGTGGAAATTCAGTTGCTGGGGGCAAGTGGGGACTTATTCATTGTGGAATGCTCTCCTCACTGAGATCCACCTGGTGTCTTCACTGACCTCTTTTTGCTTTCAGGTAGAAGCAGCAGTTTTCAATGGACTGCAGTGATGGTGTTTGCGGTCTGTTATGCTGCTGAAGCATTTAGGAGGATGGGGACACTTTTCATACCAAGATCACCTCTGCACCAGGGTTGGGTGAATCTGTCAATATCTCTCAGTTTCTCATTCTTCCCATCTTATTTTCCACATTTCTGCATTTTAAAAAATCATGAAAACTCCTTACCCATTTTAGTGTAATCTTGTCCTAATAACCACATTTTTGTATGCAGTTATGATTTACTCATTTTTACAAGCAATCTCTCCATCAATGCATTGGACATTACTGTCATTAAATTTTTGCTTTAACGTTGTATGTATTTTTGGAAATATTGTTTGTGCATACGCAAAATTCAGAGAAGTGTGAATTTCAACAAGCATATTTCAGTTCATGTATTCGTTTTAGAAATGTGAATTACCGTAGTTAGTTTCTAACTGGAATGCAAATGAAAGCAAATTTGTCGTCTCCCCCCCCCATCCCTCTGGGGTTCTAGTAAACCACCTATACTCTGCTCTTGTGTGAATTAAAACAATAGTGACTTTCTCCTGGGAGATCAGGATGATAAGTAAAATATAGACCCATTCCCATATATTAGTTTCAGACGTCTCTCATTAAAATGCAAACAAAATTGAGTTTCTCCTCCACTCCTAATCTGTGCTATTATGCATTCCTGAAGACCCACTTTTGTTAGACGCCAAGAGAGTGTTTGTGTTGTTTCGCTTCAAGACAGTCTCGAACAAAACACACTCTGTCCCACTATGTGTTACCAACAGCAGTTGCAAAAATGTGCGAAGCAGCAAACAGTGCGGTGCATGGTGTGCTTTTTCAGTGCTCTCCTCGTGTCTGCATTTGCCAACATGTGCACTTGAGATGCTTTGCATCCAACCGTCCACCCACTCACCTTCCTTAAGCTTCTGGAGACCCAGGGGGAGGGAACTGAACCTCAAAGAGCGGCAACGCTAGCAAATTGCACAAATTAAATTTTTGGAACAATCTCCCAAGTGGGGAAAAAAATATCAAGGACAGTGGTCTGTTGGGGACAGGTGTGGGAAAGAAGGGACACCCAGAATAAAGTCTGCTTTTTTAACAGCAGTCTTATCTGCAGCCATGAGAAATTTAGGAAGTCATCTTATACTAGGGTAGGCTATTGGTCCATCTAGCCCAGTATTCCTTTATTTATTGAATTTATAATCCACTATTCATCCTGAAGGAGCCCAGAGCAACAAACCAATCCACAATCTAAAAACAAAAAAAACATTATAAAGCAGTTAAAGCATTCTGTAAGCAATTAGAGTGAAAGAACCTTCTAAGAGCACTTACAGTTTAAAACATTACTCCATCCAGTGATCTCGAGGTTGCCAAGAACAGTATCCTTCAACCACAAATGCCTGGGTAAAAAGGAATGTTTTCACATTCCTCCTGAATGTTAATAATGGTGGAGACAGGTGCACCTCATTAGGGAGGGCATTCCACAAACAGAGAGCCACCACTGAAAAGACCTTGCTATGGGTAACTGCCATGGGCAGCACCTGGCTGCAGCACCACCAGCAAGGCCTCAGCTGCCAATCATTACATCCAAGATGATTGATACTGTCTACTCTTGACTAGCAGTTTTTCTCCAGAATTCAGGCAGAGATCTCTGCTCCCCTCTGCTCCCTGTTTTATTTGTTTTAACTGGAGATGGTTTGCTCCTGGGGTCTTCTTTGTGCAAATCATGTTCTTTATCATGAGATAGAGCCCATGTTCAGTTCTCAGAACAAACGTCAATCTGGGGAGGGGGGGACATTTCAGCAGTAAACTGGGTTTTCCCAGGAAAGGTGGTGAGGAACCCCCCCCCCAAAAAAAACCCATGCTCAGACCTGTGCCTACAAATCATGGACCTGTGCGGGTGAGCCCTTAAAGGCAAATATACCTAATTTACAATTTCTGAAACAATACACAAACCAAAATAGCCATCCTTTGAATCTCACACTTCTCCTAATTTTGCAATGCCTCTCCACAGTCTTGTAATGTGCAGAAAAATGTTGTACTAGGGTAAAGAGTGCAAAAAATGCATATACCAATGAAAGTACATTATACTAGGGGAAACTGCATTGCAAAAATGTGCAATTAGGCAAAATTGCAGACAAACGTGCACATTTCATTCTGAAATGCTGATGTATGAGAATATATATCTATTTATCCCAAAATGACGTGGAAATGTGGAGGACATGAAGACTGGGGAGAAACTGACAAAATTGAAACTGACAGATTTCCTGGGTGGATTGAACTTTTGTGGACTAGAGTCAGTGTCCTCAAGTGCAAACTCGTCTCGGGCATCTGGAAAAAGCTGGTGTGCCGTAAGAAATTTGTTAGTCCTTCAGGTGGTAGGACAGGCCAGTTTTTTGATTTGGCAAGCTTATTCATGCCAAATCTTCTTCCAAGCGGGAATTGCTTTTCCTCTTTTAATAGTACAGGAACACCATAACATTATGGTTTACATCGCAAAAAGAAAAAAAGAAAATAAATCCAATTAAAACTTTAAGCTTATGCTTTCCTTTTTAATGCTGTCTTAAAAGCCAGCTACCCAGCTGAGCTATGTAGAAAACGCAGCTTCAGTGTCCTATACAAATGCAGTCAAACTGCATTTATAGAATCCTTCACAGAAACCACATTTTCTGCAGTTTGTCAGATGTAAGCACTGTAGCCTGTAGAATCTGGGGAAAGATCTTTCAAACTTGGGCATTGTCCAGCTGAAAGCTAATAAACAAAAGGTGGCTTTGGAAAGCCACCTGCAGGGCAGAACTTCTGCTTATTCAACTGTTCTGTTGTTTCTGTATTTTCATATCTTTCATCTCAAAGCCACCCGAGAAATATTTATATTTGAAGGGCACATATGAATTCTTAAAATAACTAAATAATGAACAAATGCATTCTTTCTTTAAAATAATTTTTATTAAATTTTCAGTTTTACATCTTAAAATAAACATTAACATACTGTTAGATATCCAGTGACTTCCCTCCTTTTTCCTTGGTTCATTTTAGTTATCTTTCATTCTTGCATATTTTGCTATAACCATTTTAGCCAGTTCTCCACCTTTATATCACTCGAACATTACTTACACTGTTGATTTTACCTTAAGCTGCCAAGTGTTTTCAGCTGTGTACAGTTACAGTGGTACCTCAGGTTACCTACGCTTCAGGTTATAGACTCCGCTAACCCAAAAATAGTACCTCAGGTTAAGAACTTTGCTTCAGGATGAGAACAGAAATCGTGCTTCGTTGGCGTGGCAGCAGCAGGAGGCCCCATTAGCTAAAGTGGTGCTTCAGGTTAAGAACAGTTTCAGGTTAAGAACGGACCTCTGGAACGAATTAAGTACTTAACCCGAGATACCACTGTATTTTCCATATGCTCAGTAAATATTTTCCACTCTTCTTTGAATATATGTTCTTATTGCTCTCTTATTCTATATGTTAAACCTGCAAGCTTTGCATATTCTACCATCTTAAGTTGCCGGTCCTCTTTGCCTGGGACCTCCCTCACTTTCCATTTTGAGGCTAACAAAACTCAGGTCGCCATTGTTGCATAAATAAATAAATTTTGTTGATGCTTAGGATTTCAGTCTGGATTATTTCCAACAAAAAGGACTCAGGTCATTTTGGGAAAGTTATTTTAAACATTTTTTTCAACTCATTTCCCAATATTCTTTTACCTTTTTACATGTCCACCACATATGAAAAAGATGTTCCCTTCATTTCTTTATATTTCCAAAACATATCTGATTCTGCTTTATACATCTTAGCCAACTGTGGGTCAAATACCATCTGTAAATTATTTTTATATCATTCTCTTTCAGTGAGTAATATGCAGTAAATTTCAAATCATTCTTCCAAAGTTTCCCCCAGAGGTTTAAATCTATGTTGTGTCCTGTATCTATTGCCCAGTGTGTCATTGAAGCTTTGACTAGCTTGTCTTTTGTTTCCCGTTCTAATAAGAGGTTATACATCTTGGACAATAACTTATTCTTATTCTGTAATAATTGTCTTTCAAATTGTGACCTTTGGTCCAGGGACCCATTTTTTAAATCTAATTTAAACATATCATGTAACTGATGATACTGTAACCAGTCGGAAACTTGGCTACTTACATCTTGCATTGGTTTCAGTCTGGGTTCCCTCCCTGTAAGGTCCAACAGTTCTCTATAGGTTGCCCACTGTCTATCCATATTAACTCTTTTAATTGTAATTGCTTAAATTGGGGATAGTCATAAAGGTGTTTTTCTTTCCAGCAAGTATTTATATTTCTCCCAAACTCTATACAAATTTGTTGTTGTTGTTTAGTCATGTCCGACTCTTCGTGACCCCATAGACCAGAGCACGCCAGGCACTTCTGTCTTCCTCTGCCTCCTGCAGTTTGGTCAAACTCATGCTGGTAGCTTCGAGAACACTGTCCAACCATCTCGTCCTCTGACATCCCCTTCTCCTTGTGCCCTCCATCTTTCCCAACATCAGGGTCTTTTCCAGGAAGTCTTCTCTTCTCATGAGGTGGCCAAAGTATTGGAGCCTCAGCTTCAGGATCTGTCCTTCCAGTGAGCACTCAGGGCTGATTTCCTTAAGAATGGATAGGTTTGATCTTCTTGCAGTCCATGGGACTCTCAAGAGTCTCCTCCAGCACCATAATTCAAAAGCATCAATACTTCCTAATAATGTGGTCTGTAAAACTCTTATAAACTTTAGCTTTCCCATACCAAAGGCATGCCAGCCAAATTTTATATGATGGCCTTCCAAATGTCTGCATTTTCCAATACGATCCATTCCTTTAGTCAATGCAAGCAAGCTTCCCTGTAATACAGTTGAAAGTCTGAGAGGACAAAGCCTCTTTCTTTTACGTCTATCAGAATGAAACTAACAAGCACCCCAGTCCTGGCCATCCTACTTGTGTCTCTCTCGATTGCACTTGAATCTTGGTGCATGGGGTGGAGATGCACCTTGTGTATGGTGCACGTGCTTATAAATACACATGCACTGTATCCTGCAAATCCTCCTATTTCCAATGCTCCGGCTTAGAGGGTTAATTTCTGAGTAGTCGCTATGATAAATTACAGTATTTTCCCTAGTGTGTCTTTAAGCTAAAGAACCGACACCCTTTTTGCTTTTAACTCGACACAGGACAGGCTATTTTAGGGGGAAATTAATGCAGTGTTACCCACAGGGAATAAATGTGTAAGCGTTTGTGTGTGTGTATGACAATGAGGGCACTGCAAGACTCCAAGTACACAAGGAATAAGACAGCCATGTGGGTCATTGGGGGAGGGAATGGAAAATGGAACAGAGGGATCTTTTATTTTTGTGTGACAAATTCACTTATCCTTTGTTTAGGTGGTGTGATACTGAGCATTCAGCCCTCTAAACTCCTCCAGCAAACCATGGTATTTCATTCTTTAATTAAAAATAGAAACATAATCTCTTATATTTTGTTTGTAGGAAGAATCTGTATTTTTTAAAAGAAGAATTGAAGCATGTCTATTTGCAGATAATTTGTCACTTACTTTGTGCAATCTTTTAACCTGAGAGAAGAAAAGCTTTTAAAATGTAGACGCTATATAGATCTAAAGAGTACACTATGTGGTGTTGCTTAAAGCTAGCAGGGAAAAGGAAATCTGGTGGGTTTTTTGTTCTTGTTTTTTTGCATGCTTGCAAGGTTGCTGTGAATTAAGCCTAATGCTTTTTCAATTACATTTCAAAATATAGAACATATTTACAGTGAGCATCACTTAGAGTCAGGAATGGCAGATGGAAAGGGTACGTGAATTGCTCTGGATTATCCCAGAGGCCAATGCAAGAGAGAATTCATGCAGTGACCCCAGTCTGACTGAGAGGCTGTCCTAAAGAGGTGTGCTTTTAATGGTGATGGAAATAGCACCAGGCCCTGCTTTGAGATGCTGACCTGTAGCAAACTGGTCCCAGGTAAGGAGAAGCAGGACGTTCTTCAGGATTTCCGAAGAGGCAGTAGCGTTAGTCTTCCACAGGAAAAGCAAGGGCCCAGTTCAGGCTATCCCATCTCACCTTAATGAATTGATGTGTCCTCTTCCTTAGGTGCTTTGCCCTTGCATTGCCTCTTCCCTCTTCCTTCTTAGCACACTCTGGTAAGCCAGGAAGCCTTCAATGAACCATTGTTTTCAGGACTGTCTTAAGCATATGCAGCGTCGGGGTGCAAAGATCCGCCCGGCGCCCCCACCCCCAGTTTGCCCAGTCCTAGGTGTGCAGGAGGGCGGAGCCGGCCAGCAGCCTCAGCGTCTTGCTGGCTCAGTCGGCTCCGAAATCGCGGTGCAGAGCCACCCGCAGAAGAGTCTGCTGCAGCACTCTGACCAACGGGCAGGCTCTTCCCTGGACTCAACTTTCAAGCCCTGGACTCTCGGCCTGGCGCCCCTGAGAGCCTGGCACCCGGGTGCCCCGCACCCCTGGTGCCTATGTGTAAGATGGCCCTGACTGTTTTTCCAGTTATATTTAAACAGGGAAACAATGGTTAGTTACACAGCATGGATGTCCTTTTAAAATGTGGCTCTTTTGGGGTGGGGAGTTGTTGGGTTGTTGTTTTTATTTTGTATACAGAGAGAGAGAGAGTGAGAGAGAGAGAGTAGTACCTCGGGTTACAGACGCTTCAGGTTACAGACGCTTCAGGTTACAGACTCTGCTAACCCAGAAATACCACCCCGGGTTAAGAACTTTGCTTCAGGATGAGAACAGAAATCGTGCGGCGGCAGCGGGAGGCCCCATTAGCTAAAGTGGTGCTTCAGGTTAAGAACAGACCTCCAGAACGAATTAAGTTCTTAATCCGAGGTACCACTACAGTCATACCTCATGTTGCGTCCGCTTCGTGTTGCATCTTTTTGCGTTACATCCCACGGCAACCCGGAAGTACTGGAATGGGTTACTTCTGGGTTTTGCTGCTCACACCTGCGCAGAAGCGCTAAATTGCGCTTCGCGCATGTGCAGAAGCACCAAATCATGCTGCGCGCCTGTACAGACGCGCTTCGAGTTGCGGGCATTTCACGTTACAGACAGGCCTCTGGAACGAATCCCATCCATAACACAAGGTACCACAGTATTGTGGTTTTTATGTTGATCTTTTCTGTGAACCACCCTGAGACCTCTGGTTATAGGGCGGTATATAAATCCAACAAATATTATAACAATAACAACAACAACAACAACAACAACAACATGGATCTGTTTTAAATTTGGTAACCATCATTTCAGGGTTTTGACATAATGGGAAATGATGATTAACCAAAACTTATGGAGTTAATTATGATTTCCCCAGAAAGGGATAGACACAAACACACTGACATCCAAACCAGGAGAAATACTCTTTCACCGTAATTATTATACATACCGAAACTGGCAGATCCTTCCATCCCTAGGTGGGGGGAGAGGTTCTCTCTATTTTGCAATGAGTGGGCATTTGCTGAACACACCCTCACCCTGCTAAGATCTTCTGCTGAGCTACAAAAACATCTCCAATAAAGGCATGTGACATTTATAGGAACATGTAGCTGGGTGTGTCAAACTCTCTTAACGCCTCCCAAGAAATGCTAATTTTGTAGTCAATCCTTATCAGCCATTCCTCATCACCCAACATATTTATCAGCCCCCATTAAATGGTGCAGAGAAATAGAAGGAGCATTTTGGCTTACTGGGATCTTGTTTCACTAACTGACATAGTTCCCTGCCCGCCCCTACCAACAGAATAAATTATGCAGAGCAGAATAAATTTTGCAAGACAAAATTATGCAAATGAGCTTAATTTATAGAGATCTTAGGTTTTCTTATGGTATTGCTTTTGAGTTGCCTTGGCATAGATCTGTTTATTTGTGCTGTTATATTTTTTACTTGCGGCGTATGTGCATTCTTGCTACAAGGGCATCACATTGATACAGAATTCTTTCAGAAACCTAAACTAATGAGGATGTGGGTGCTAAGAACCTAGGCAGTGGCCTGAGGGAACACGGAGTGATGCTTTTTTGAAACCTACACACCTCAAGGAGCTAGTCTATCACATCTGTAAGCCACCCATGAGGTAAGGTGAGGCTACTGCCTCAGGCAACAGGATGCAGAGGCGCAGCAGATCCAGCCTCCAAGGAATGAATCTCTCCACAGTGAATACAACAAATGTGGAGGCCAGACCTGCTGCCTCCTTGGCATCCCCCACACAATGCCACCTCCACAGCGGCTCCTTGGCAAATAGGAGGTCTTGCTGGTCTCCTCCCATCCTTGTTCCTGATGTAGAGCTTCACTCACTCCTTTCCTGGTATGGAGATGTGCCATTTTGTAGTTTGCCTCAGGTGCCAAAATGTCTTGGGCCGGCCCTGCTGTATGGCAGTGGAAGTTCCAGGAAGGCATGGTCAGTTGAGAATTGTATCCATTCCTGATTAAAAAGTGGCATTGGGATTATTTGTGCTGATGAGTCATAATACAGTGGTACCTCAAGTTAAGTACTTAATTTGTTCCGGAGGTCCGTACTTAACCTGAAACTGTTCTTAACCTGAAGCACCACTTTAGCTAATGGGGCCTCCTGCTGCTTCTGCGCCACCGGAGCACAATTTCTGTTCTCATCCTGAAGCAAAGTTCTTAACCTGAAGCACTATTTCTGGGTTAGCGGAGTCTGTAACCTGAAGCGTATGTAACCTGAAGCATATGTAACCCAAGGTACCACTGTACATTAAAAAACACACCAAACACCTGGAAACAGGTGGATGGGAAAACTTAAAAACATTAAAATTGGGGGATTTACATTTAAAATCTCTCTGGGTAAGGACGTTAACCAGCTTTAGTTGATTCAGCAACTTTGTTTAAAATCCCTCTTGGTAAGGAAGTTAACCAGCTTTAGTTGATTCAGCAACTTTGTTCAATGCTTCGAGAGGAAAGGTGTGGTATAAGAAAAGGTTATTCATTTGTTTATTTTTTTTTAAATGAGAGTTTGACAGCAGCACTTAATGAATGAAGGACAAAATGTTGCTCAGTCTCCAGCCTGCACCGCTAGAAAAACAGAGACCAATATTGACAGCAAATCCTTGAAGTAATTTGATGAAATTTCCCTCCCTGGTCCTACAGTTCCTAAGGAACCATTACTTTTTGTTAGTTAGATTGGTGGCTGTTCCGTCAGATGGTTAGGAGATGGTTTCCTGAAAGGTGGGAATCTCTTCCTGTTTTTAAATGAGATGCTCTACAGAGCTTGGGGAAAGATGCTCTCCCTTGTGAAAAGGAAGAGACAGGGTGGTGGTGGTGAGTGAGTGAAGAAACCATAGTTTGTGATGGAGAAGGATGGGCATAGTCAAGGGGTGGCAGATGGGGGCAGCTTCCCCCCTGCCCCGGATCCACAAATATTATTGAAAAGCATTGAAAGTACTCAATTATCTGAGATTCTGCCCCCCGCCCTAGCAGAAGCCTGCCCCCTGCAATGTCCTATTTACGGGGTATATTTACCCATGATTTCCCAAGAAAAGCTCAACAGATGCCAGCCTGGCCAGGACGGCTTTCCTTTTATACCTTCTGGGCTTGATGAGGCAGGTGACCCTCACCTGTCCTGAGCCTGCGCCAGATGAGGAATCACACACCTCTTCTCAGAGCTAGCAAGCCCTACTTGGGCTGTGGGTCCTTGCTTGCCTTCCCACAGAACTGACAGCTGTAAGTTCTGGAATCCTGAGGTCAGAGATGGTGGTGGCCTGGCCAGGACAGCGGCTCAACAATCTTGGCTGCTCCCCCCCCAACAAAAAACCTGGCTATGTCCATGGAGGGATGTACATTGTTGTGAGATTTTAGGAGATCACTCTTCCCTTCCGAGAGCTACAGTTCTCGGCGTGGTTTAACAATTCATCCCTCATCCCAGAGATGTCTGGGAATGGTAGCACTGTGAGGGGAATAGAGGTCTCCTAACATCTCTCAGCACCTTTAACAAACTATAGTTCCCATGATTCTTTGGAGGAAGCCATGACTGTGTAAAGGGGTATTTTCTGGTATAAATGCATGGTGCAGATGGAGCCTCTGCCAGTCAGTGTAAACAACGCTGAGCGGGATGGACCAATGGTCTGACTTGCTGTAAAGCAGCTTCCCACGTTTCTAATTTCTCTTGTGCTGTCTCTCTCTATAAAAACCCACATTTTAACGAATGACACAGAGGTTAGTAACCAACAGGGCATGACTTGCTGAACCTTTGAATACAGGGGAAACATGTCAGAAAGAAATGCAAGGGTTGGATCTTGCTCTTCTTTCCCCTCTTTCCTCCCCCACCCCACCCCACATCCAGTGATGCCATTGCTAATGACAGCTCCTCACACAGTGGCTTTTATTAAACTCTGATGCGGTGACTGAATGCAGGGATGAATCACTCATCTTGGGATACATTTTCAATTCAGACATGCAGTATGCACTTGCCAAAGGGAGTGGGAATACAGAAGCAGACGGCTTTGTTTGGCTTTTTTTCCTTGTTATTGTTCTTTTTTAAAAAAACACAAAGCATTGTTTCATATACAGTGGTACCTCTGGTTAAGAACTTAATTCGTTCTGGAGGTCCGTTCTTAACTTGAAACTGTTCTTAACCTGAGGTACCACTTTAGCTAATGGGGCCTCTCGCTGCCATTGCGCCACCGCCACACAATTTCTGTTCTCATCCTGAGGTAAAGTTCTTAACCTGAGGTACTACTTCCAGGTTAGCGGAGTTTGTAACCTGAAGCGTTTGTAACCCGAGGTACCACTGTAGTGCAGTGGTGGGGAGACTCAAGCCCATGGGCCCTCCATGCAGCCTTCCAGACCCCTACATTGGGCCCACAAGTCTGTAAACCCCAGTTGCTGTTGTGCTCGGATCCTGTTTCTGGGCTTCCCACAGGCATCTGGTTGGCTTCTGTGAGAGCAGGATGTTGGACTGTATGGGCCATTGTTGGCCTGATGTAGCAGGACTCTTATTGCATTCTGTAAAGCTCTTCCATCTTTGACAACTCCACTAACAGCAGCTGATGGTGTCTGTGTTACTCAGAACATACATCCACAGAACGGTATCCCAAAACCCCCTGACGCTGTCTGCGCATCCATGGGAAGCCAGAGCACAATCGGCACAAAAGCTGAATAACACTTTCCGCCCTGTTTGTTTTGCAGAGCAATTCAAAGCATGGCCTTGTGGCATTAAATGCAAAAGACCAACTTCGGAAGTAGGGCTTTTGCTTCCTTTTTTGGGCCAGTGACACATGGAAGAAGAAGAAAGGGGAGTGGGGGGGGAACCCCTAGGAAAGTTACGTAAGTCCCAAGACAGGAAATGCTTATGGTATATTCGACTACAGCCTTTCATCAATATTTAACAAGATTTCTCTCCTTCTACCCGCATTATTTCTTTTCAAGCGCTCTGCTTATTTCGGAGCCTGGTGGGAGCTGTTGCGCCAGATCTGAGGGCAGCTCTCATCTAATGTTTTGAGTTATGTAGCTCATGTAGCTCTGGAGCTTAACTCATTACCGGTTTTGAGGTCCAACAGCAAGTTATCTCTCCCACATCCACGAGGGCCTTTGTAAAGGGAACTGCTGTCAGAAGGAGCTGCTCAGGGGACGTTAAGGACAGCGCTGCAGGATCAGACCCAAGGCATCCTGTTTCCCCACAATGGTCAATCACATGTTTCTGACAGGGTACAGAATACTGCAGCCAGGCTACTGCCTGGGGTCAGTTAAATGTAGGGAGCATATTACTCCCCTGTCAAAACAATTTCACTGGTGACTGATCTGTTTCCAGGCACAATTCAACGTATTGATCATGAACTATAAAGCCCTATGTGGCTTGGGCCTGGGTTACCTGGAAGATTGTATCTCCCTTTATGAACTTGCCCGGGTGCTAAGATCCTCAGGTGAGCACCTTCTCCAGGCCCCATCAACATCAGAGGCACAGTTGCTGGCGACCTGCGAGAGAGCCTTTTCTGTGGCTGCTCCCATGTTGTGGGACTCCCTCCCAAGGGCGGTTAAATTTTGTCCCTCCTTGATATCTTTCTCTCAACAGGCAGAGACCTTCCTATTCAGACAGGCCTTTGGGCAGTGTTTTCATGCTAGTTATAAATGTGTTTTATTGTATTTTAACTATTGTTTTCAACTGGTTTGTTAGAATTATTTTGTATTTCAGAGCTATGTTTTTGAAGTTTTGAAAGCCACATTGAATCCCAACTTGGGAGACAGGCGGGATATAGATACATTAAACAAATAAGTGCTACCCCTCTCCCGTGGTCTCTCCCTCCCCCCATTGCAATTGGTAGTCAGAGGAATTATCTAGGACAGGAATGGGGAACCTCAGGCCCAGATGTCAAATGTGGCCCTCCAGGCCCTGGCACTCAGAATTGTCCCCAAAGTCACACCCTCTCTTTTCAGGCTACACCCCTTGCCTGCCCTGCCTTGAGTGTTTTTGCCAAGCTGAAATGTGTCCTTGAACCCTTATCATTCCTCTTACTTGTCCAGAGGGAGAACAGAGCACAGGTAAAGTTCTCAGGTACAACAGGTCCCTGCTGCAAAAGTCCTGCCCCAACACATGGACTCCTGCCACTGCCAGACAGTGTGGATAGTACTGACCTACAGTTACCCAATGGCCTGACTTGGAATAACTTGGCAAATTCCTGTGTTCTGATTACATGTTTCCCCCTCCCCTCTTTTTTAACAACAACACAGAGCTATGAACGACATTGGAGATTACATCGGGTCAAACATAGAAATCTCTTGGTTGCCCAATTTGGACGACCTGATGAAAGGGTATGCAAGAAATTTCAGGCCTGGAATTGGAGGTAAGATTCTGGCTGATGTCGTTAAAACCACCCTGGGAATTGTAGCTCCATGAGGAAAATAGGGCTCTCCCAGAAACATTCAGCACCCTTAACAAACTACACTTCCCATGTTTCTTTGGAGGAAGTTGTTGACTGTTTAAAGTTGTATTTTACTTCTTAAGATGTACAGTGCAGATGGGGCCTAAGCTGGATATGGCTCAATTTTTTAAAAAAAAACAAACAAACCATGAAACAATTTGCATTGCAGCAAGGAAGCATATATCTGTGGTTACAGGGCAAATTTCAACAGAATATTACCACAGGCTCCTGATTTGGATTGGTGGATATGCCATGGATCAGGACCGCACAGTCTTTTCTCCACATGTTTAAACGTGTGTCTGATGTATAGCGACAATGACAACACAACAAGTGTTAACACTTGGGTTAACTTTTGAAACCACATGTGAGGCTGTGGAGGTGAAAACTAAGTAGCTAGTACTGTATAGTTCTGGGCCTGTATAGGATAGTTGTGGAGGGTTTTACAGCTGCCAAATGACATACCAACCTGAAAAGTGAGTATTAACAGTTTAAGCTTTTTCAGAAAGTCCTGGAACCGTGGCTTTAAAAAATTGCCATTATCCGATCAAATTACAAAGTTGGAGGAGGTAAGGGCACCAGCTGGGATGTGCCCAAGTATAGGTGAAGGAGAGGGGGTTATTGCTTTGTTTTGTTCTTGTTTTTATTTGTTCCTGTTTTTATTATGTATTTTGTGTTGGTTATCTTGTATTTTTATGCTGTGAACCACCCTAAAATCTACGGATGAAGAGCAGTCTACAAATTTAATGAAGAAGAATAATCATGCGTAGTTTGGCCCTTAGGCTTTGTTAATGGCACGAAAGCCCCCATTTGGACACCATCAGGTGGCAGGTGGAGAAGCAGTCACTATTCCCTCAGTTTCACTGACAGGGGTTCTACTTGCAAATTGTGTAACTCCTGTTTTAAAAGCTGCACGGGTTACCAGTTTGTTGCTGGGCCTGATTCAAAGTACGGACCCCTGGAAGATTTAGGTAGGCCTCAAATATATGAAAGACTGCCTCTTCACCAATCTCCCGGGATGTTAAGCATTGGCAGTTTGCCCTTTCTTGGTAGTTTCACTACCCTCAGAAAAGCGGGGCATTGGTGGCCCGGGACGGAAGGGGCCTTCTCTGTGGTAGCCTCTAAATTGTGAAATTGCCTCCCCGTAGACATGTCTTCATTATATCTTCACTGAGCCTCTTCATTGTACAGTACACATCACTTTATCCTGGCCTGTGGCTTCTTGCAGTTAACGTGCTTTGCTTTGTGGGACCCACCTCTTTTGCTGAATGTAAACTTTTGTGTACTGTTTTGAAAGGTTTCCCTTGCTTTATAATAGTGATGGGTTTTTTCCTTTTTAAAGACTAAGCTAATATTCTATTGTTGTAACCTGCCCTGGGACCTTATGGTGAAATGGGGAGTAAGAAATCTCATAAATAAAATTAAATAACCCCCTCTTTTTTTCTTTCCCCTAATTCAGGCCCCCCTGTTAACGTTGCTCTAGCCATTGAAGTTGCCAGCATTGACCACATATCAGAAGTCAATATGGTAAGTTGGCGCTTGAAGAAAAATAACGCTGCCGTGTCATAACATCCAACATTTTTCGGGGGTGGGGGTGGGTGGGGAATAAAGATATATGTTTCTCCAGATTATGGAATTGTGGGAAATTTTAATGGCAGCCAGGGTGGTGATTCTTGTCCTCAGGAATACACAATGACAGTCTTCCTGCATCAAAGCTGGCGCGATGACCGGCTGTCGTACAATCACACCAACGAAACCCTGGGCTTGGACAGTCGCTTTGTGGATAAGCTGTGGCTGCCAGATACCTTCATCGTCAATGCCAAGTCTGCCTGGTTCCATGACGTCACTGTGGAGAACAAGCTCATCCGGTTGCAGCCTGATGGGGTCATTCTGTACAGCATCAGGTAAAACAGAAACTTCATGAGGAAGAGTGACCTTTTGTGCTGGGTAATTAGATGGCAACCTTTGCTGGGTTTTAGGTGGTTTCCCAAGTGCTGCATATAGTTCAGGCAACATGTGTTTGTGGGTAGGGACCTGTTGGCCTTTGATCAGCCTTGTGCGGTTCCGCTAATCAGATTCAGAGGGATCTATAGTTCATGCTGATGTTTACTTGCACTTGTATAGTCTGGTGAGGCTCTTGAGAAGCAGAAGGTCACCAACTCACCAGTCACCATTAGTGCTGTCTGCCCCACCAACTTTGTTGGAGGGGCTACTCAGTGTTGGGTTCATATAAGCAAATGTGGCGGACCTGCAGTAGGGGAGCCGCATTCTGAGGGGAATTATTCAAAGATATTAGGGAGATAACCGGACAAAACACAGTAAAAAGCCTGGAGTTCGCATTACATAAAATTTACCTATGACATAATATGAACCTGCATTTTAAGCACATTTTTAAAGTTTTAACTGGCCAGGTAGGGTGGGATGGGGTTATTTAAGCATCTTATGTTTTAATTGTTGCAACCTGACCTGCAACCTTAGGCTGAAGAGCGAGTAATAAATTGTAGTAGTCAAATCATCATCACCATCCAGCTTTTAGCAGCAGCCAGGCTAGTAATAACTAGATACTGGAAATTATTAGAAGGTGCAACATTGACCACAAGGTATTTTTAAAAAGCCTGGCAAATTAGCGCAGACAGAAAAATTAGCCACTAAACTAAAAATAGCAAGGAGAATGAAATGAAAAGGCACATTTTGGGTGGATTGACATGCTTTTATTATGTGCAGTGCAGAAGAGGAGAACGCGGGACCTTCTCCACTTTATAAAGTTTTGTTTGCTATCATTGCAGGCAGTAAGAGAAATTGCCACCCTACCGGAAATATGACAATTTAAGGGATGCATGCTCTGATGTAATCCAAACTCATGTCTTCAAAAATGGTGGGAGGGTGGGTTTTTGTTTTAACACTGCTTCTTGTTGTTTTGTAGTATAAAAAAGTAATAATAATAATAATATTTTCTAATGGCAAATGTTAGCCTATATGTAATGGTGGTGTTTGTTGCTGTCTTCATTTTGGATAGAATCACCTCAACGGTGGCCTGTGACATGGATCTTACCAAGTACCCTATGGATGAGCAGGAGTGCATGCTTGACTTGGAGAGCTGTGAGTTCAATTCTGAGGTGTCTATTTTAAAAAGGTCTTCTCAAATGGGAGGGCAGGGAGTGGAGGAGATAATTTCCTTCACACAGGGTAGCCTTGGCCCAGAGTGCAAACCCCTTAATTATTGGAGCTGGAGCAGGGAAACCGCAGCTCTCCCAGCTCCCATAATCCCTGACCATTGGCCATGCTGTCTGGTGTTGATGGGAGTTGGAGTCCAACGGCATCTAGAGCATGCAAGGATAACCTTTGGCGCTCCGGCTGTGGCTGGAATACAGCTCCCAACATCCCTGACATTTGCAGAAATGTTCATATTAGGAAAGATTCACCCTGAAATGCTGCAAAATTTTCATGGACTTGTTTTTTGTTTTATCCCAAACTAACGTGGAAATGTGGATAACTGAACTTAAAGAGAGGGAAAAGAAGAAACCGAAATTAACAGATTTGGCCCTACCTGCAGTTTATTTGAACGTTTTTAGTGGGCTTCCTGTAACTCAAGGCAGCTTACAGCAAATGTCCACGTTGCAACTCTGTCTAAATGTGGTTTCGTCATAGCACCACAAAGCTTCTGAAATCTGGCTGGTGGTGGGATGGCAGGTTAAATGGTGCTATGCATGGCCTGATGGCACCATGGAAACGCTATTGCAACAGTTTAATGCCAGGATGACCTGGATGCTATTTCTCTAGGCCTGAATAGCCGTGCAAAGCTGTGCACTGGGACTAGAAAGCATTAGAGCGGATTGATCGCTGGTGCAAGTTTTCTTCTTCTCCTCCTCCTCCTCCTCCTCCTCCTCCTCCTTCTCATTTCATTTTTAGCACTGACTGTTTTCTGAGCAATTAAGCACAATACATTTTTATCCCACCAAATATAGCAATCTGCAGTTCTTTTCACTTATGCAATCAGTAAATGCAGAGGCAGCCAGAGAATGAGGCGGCAAAATTTTAGTCTGCTGGCGAGTTTTTACAGAGGGCTCGGATTTTAATTTAATTTTGCAGATTGTGTTTATAGAGCAATAATCACAAGGAGAAATGAAGCCTCTTAAAACAGATTAAAAAAAAGAAAGTTGGTTCTCCATGGGAGTGGGGGCAGTTGAAAGACAAGCGAGGAGTTTTGTTTTGTGGGGAGGGGAATGTTGATGTAGAAAATGGACAGGTGAGCAGCACTTGAAGAGTAGCAATTTTGCACAAGTGAAGAGAAGCTGTGCAATTTTATTTCTTAATAAAATGACTTGCCTTTTCCTGTGAATGTTGTGTGACTGATCATGAGGTGGGGAAGAGGTGGGTGAATCTGCCAATATCAGTTTCTTCTTAATCAGAGAATTGTAGAGCTGGAAGAGACCCCAAGGGTAATCTAGTAGAAACCCTGTGATACAGGGATCACAGAAAAAGAATCCCTGACAGATGGCCATCCAATCTCTGCTTTAAATCCTCCAGTGAAGGAGAGCCCACCACTTTCCAAGGAAGTCCGTTCCACTGTCAACCAGCTCTTACTGTCAGAAGGTTCTTCCTAATGTTTAGTCAGATTCTCCTTGCTTGTAATTTGAATCCACCGGTTCGAGTCCTACCCTCTGGAGCAGCAGAAAACAAGCTGGCTGCACCTTCCACGCGACAGCCCTTCAGATATTTGAAGATGGCTATCATATCTCCTGTCAGTCTTCTCTTCTCCAGACTAAACATACCTAACTCCCGCAACTCTTCTCTATATGGCTTGGTTTCCAGATCCTTTATCATCTTAGGGCTCATCCACACTTCCTCTTGTCCCACTGCTTTCCCTGGGGACGACCGCTCTTTAGCACTCAGTTGGAGCAAATGGCAATCTGGTTTTCTGCAGATTGCAGTTCTGATCTAGAGCTAAAGAGTGGGTTTTGCCTGGTAAAGGAGTGTGACAAGGGGGAAACAGCTCAGACCCATGCCTAGAAAGTCCGGGTCAACCGGACCCATGCTTTCTGGGTGCAGGAGAAGCAGTAGTGTGGACGGGCCCTTAGTCATCGTCCCCTGCATACATTCCAGTTGGCTAATATCCTTCTGTCTTTCCAATCCTCTCTGCATTAGCTTGTGGTTCTCTAAGTAAAAAAAAAAAAGTCACCGTGAAAATTCATCATGCATTTTTGTGTGAATTTCTTTTAATGCACACATTTTAATGCAGTTTTGCCTAAGGAACATTTTTTACACAGCAACATCCCCTCGTATCATGCATTTCTGTATGTTGTTTTCATTAAAATCTGCACTGCAGAATCTGGAGAAGCCCAATCAGTGTAGGCAATGCTGAGCTAGATGGACCAGTTGCCTGATTTGGTGCTTCCTATCTTCCTAAAAGATAGGGACGCGGGTGGCGCTGTGGGTTAAACTACTGTGCTGCTTGGGCTTGCCGATTGGAAGGTCGGCGGTTCGAATCCCCGCGACGGGGTGAGCTCCCGTTGCTCGGTCCCTGCTCCTGCCAACCTAGCAGTTCGAAAGCACGGCAAAGTGCAAGTAGATAAATAGGTATCGCTCTGGCGGGAAGGTAAACGGCATTTCTGTGCGCTGCTCTGGTTCGCCAGAAGTGGCTTAGTCACGCTGGCCACATGACCCGGAAGCTGTACGCCGGCTCCCTCGGCCAATAAAGCGAGATGAGCACAGCCAACCCCAGAGTCGGCCACAACTGGACCTAATGGTCAGGGGTCCCCTTTACCTTTACTATCTTCCTAAAAGGGGTGGGTGCTGGGAAGAGAAGCACGAGAACACCTTGCTTGTTTCCAGGTCGTTTGGTTCTGATACACTGAACTGGGTTCATTAGGTTTGAAGTGGGCCAGAAAGCATTAACCAGTGGGACCAGTAAGAGAACTGTGGCCATGGATTCTGAGTGTTTCATCCTGAGCATGTCAATCTTCTTATCTTTCCCCATATCCCTGTATTTATTCAGTTTCTTTTGACAGATGGCTACTCCTCAGAGGATATCGTCTACCACTGGTCTGAAAACCAGGATCAGATCCATGGACTGGATAAGCTGCAGCTTGCTCAGTTCACCATCACCAATTACCGGTTTGCTACAGAAGTGATGAACTTCAAATCTGGTAAACAAAGCTTCCAGTCCTTTTAAAAGCCTTGCAGGGATGGGACTGGGTAACATCCAACTAGGTTTTGCCCAGAGTTAGGGAAGGAAGGATCTCTTGATATTGTGATCTTTCCAAACTTAAATTTAGTACTCCACATTTTTGAGCAATTTGAGATTTAAAAAGAAAAATCTTCATGATAATTCATCAGCATTCTAATGATGTGCACATTTTTGTGTGTAGTTTTGACAAACATGCGCATTCACATGTAATATACACAATATACACATTTGCATGCAATTTCCACTACCATAATATTAAATTAATCATATGCATTTTAGTTGATTAATTGATCTTTGCAAGTTAAATCTACATATATTTTCCCCCTTACAAATAAAACCTGGTTTGGACCAGAACTGTGGAGAGACCCAGGGTTCAACTCCCTACTCAGCAAGGTCTCCCACATCTGGGGTGAGCTCCTTTGAATAATATAAATGTGGTGGCAGGGGAGGGACAGACACATTTTAAAATCAATTAACTGCATTATTATTTATACAGCGCCATTAGGAATGAATGGATAAGTCTATTTTGGTTCAGCGTCAGTTCTGCACTTGTTCATCCATAAGACTGCATCATTCTGCTATCCCCCCCAATGAAAATGGATTTCACATGAAAATGTGCATTTTTACATACCCCCCAAAAAAGGGTTGTATCCAAATGTTAGTCCTACTCAGAGCTAGCCTACCTCACAGGGTTGTTGTGAGGATAAAACTGAGCTAATTGGGGGAGAGAACCATGCAAGCCACTTTGAGCTCCTTGGAAGAAACGTAAGATGTAAATAAATACATTTGCCCCTTTGTCTCCTTTATCTAGCTGGTCAATTCCCCCGGCTGAGCCTCCACTTCCACTTGAGGAGAAATCGAGGTGTTTACATCATCCAGTCCTATGTGCCTTCCATCCTCTTGGTCGCCATGTCATGGGTTTCTTTCTGGATCAGTCAGTCAGCCGTGCCTGCCCGAGTCTCACTAGGTAAAAGTGTATTGTTGATGGCTGGGGACCTATTGTAGGGTGTTAAAGCCCACAGAAGTGGGATGAGCATTTTGTGGGATGGGCTTTAATGGGGTAGGTGAGGCTATATTAATTGGAATTTATGCCTCCAGGCGCCCATATGTGTGGGTTGAACAGTTTCAAAATCCCATCATTGGCAGCCAAATTAAAAGCATAGGAATTAGGCTATAAAACCTTGTTTTTGAACAAGTCTAGCTATGAAGTAAGCTTGTTCTCCCTTTCTCACCCCATTTAAAAAAGAATCAGGCAACAACTTGTAAAGTAAGTTTTTAAAAAAGATGTACCGTACTTACTTTATAATCATGCATTGGTTCACAACAACAGTAGCAGTAAAAACTATGCAGGCAAAATACTTATATTTACAGTATAACCAGCTTCAGGCATGTGGCTAAAGTTGGAGCAAGCACAGGGCACATCTGCCCTCATGGCTGGTCACAGAAAGAGAAAGGATCAGGAAGTACTATATGAACTTTCCTCTTTAGGTGAGGAGGGGGAAATGACATCACACAGAGCCCTCTCTACCAATTGTATTTCTATGGCCTGAGTATCTATCTATCAGCAATACAGCTCTGTTGTATTAGCCCCTTCTCATGCTAACTAGCAAGAATATGCATTTGTTAGGTTTGGTTGTTAATCTCCCACACATTTGCCTTTCCTTCTTGGTGTTTCTTCCCCCACCACTAGTCGAGCATAATGTCTGACATGAAGCTGCTGCATTGGGTGCCTGTTCACTTTTGAGCCAAATGCAGCCCTCTAGCCCTCCAGGGTATGGTCCTGACTCTCTCTACTCTCCCCTGGACTCTCCCAATGCCAAATGCCTCACCAGCCTTGCTTTGCACCACCCTTTGGTGCTTTTTACCTGGCTGGAATGTGAACTCTGATAATGCTTATCCTGTATGAGGCATAGAGTGGTTTATGTGAGTGAGTATAAAATCTGGCCTACTGTGCAAAGGTGAAATGTGCATTCTTTGCTCCATCCACTTTTGCCACTGGCATATGGCCCTTGGGAGGTTGCCCAGATGGGAATGTGGCCCTCAGACTGAAAAAAAGCTATTCCCAGCCTTGGACTAAACAGAATTAAACTCTAGCTGGGACATCCTCCCCCACACCTTGTTTCTTTCAGGTATAACTACAGTCCTCACCATGACCACCCTAATGGTGAGTGCTCGGTCTTCACTCCCACGGGCTTCAGCCATCAAGGCCTTGGATGTGTACTTCTGGATCTGCTACGTGTTTGTCTTTGCCGCACTGGTGGAATATGCATTTGCTCACTTCAATGCAGACTACATGAAGAAGCAAAAAGACAAGATCAAGACCAGCAGGCAGGCAGAAGAGGTCAGTAAGAGCCTCTGGTGGGTTCAGACTCTGATCCACCCATTCGGTAAAACTGGGCTGAAATGTGTGGTCCAGCATTCTCCAGCCATGCAGGCTGATCATATAAACCTATCTGCCATGGTTGGACACAGAGGAATGGTAGCAGGAACCAGTGGGGGAATCTCCATGGGAAGAAGGCTCAGAGCAAGGGGATTGGTGGTGGGATGGCAATGTGTGGTCTGAGAGAGAAGAGGAAGAAACTGGGAGGAGAGGTCTGTAGCTGCAGCAGTAACAGGGCTTAGTGAGAGGGGGGAGTCTGGGGCAGAGAGCAGTCCAGAATCAGAGCTAGAAGCTGCAGCAGGAGAGTGGGATGAGGGAGGCCAAAAGGCACTCCTTTGCAGATCCTGTTTTTGTTTTCCAATAAAGAGTTAACTTTTATGGGAGCGGGTGGCGCTGTGGGTTAAACCACAGAGCCTAGGACTTGCCGATCAGAAGGTCGGCTGTTTGAATCCCCATGACGGGGTGAGCTCACATTGCTCAGTCCCTGCTCCTGCCAACCTAGCAGTTCGAAAGCATGGCAAAGTGCAAGTAGATAAATAGGTACCTCTCCGGCGGGAAGGTAAACGGCGTTTCCATGCGCTGCTCTGGTTCGCCAGAAGCGGCTTAGTCATGCTGGCCACATGACCTGGAAGCTGTACGCCGGCTCCCTCAGCCAATAAAGCGAGATGAGCGTCACAACCCCAGAGTCGGCCACGACTGGACCTAATGGTCAGGGGTCCCTTTACCTTTACCTTTACAAGGCAGGTGTCAGCAACAAGCCCTGGCAGTTCTCCAAGGATGCCAGGAGCTGATGCCAGCCCCACATGCTTACTTGGAGAAAGTCCCACAGATATCAGTATGACCACCTACTTCAAGTATGGGGAACTTGTTCCCCTCCAGAAGTTGCTGGGCTCCAATTCCTATCACCATCAGTAATATCAGTAATTGGTGATGATGGGAGTTGCAATCCAGCAACGTCTGGTGGGCCACAGGTAAGTCACCAGTGATAACCAATATGGTGCTCTCCAGATGTTGCTGGACTACAGTGCCCATCAGCCTCAGACAACAAGGCCTATAGGGAGGGATGGCAACATCTGGTGGGCCACAGGTTCCCCATCCCCTGGCCTACAGACATGCTGATCATCTTCTGCTTCTCATTTCAGGTCAATGTGAAGAACGCCATTGTTATGTTTTCCCTCTCGATAGCGGGCGTCAACCAGGAACTTGCTGTTTCCAACAGGCACCACAGAGTCCCTAAAAACTTGCCTGGGTCAGTGGAAGCGGAAGCGGGAGAGACCAAGAAGCAACAGGAGACTAAACCCGAGAAAAAAAACGGCCTGAAGTCTCTCTTCAAGCCCATCGATGCAGATACCATCGACATATATGCTAGGGCAGTTTTCCCAGCAGCCTTTGCAGCAGTCAATGTCATCTACTGGGTGGCTTACACAATGTGAGGGTCACAAAATGGAGGCAGGCTGGGCAACAGGCAACTGAGATCCTCTGAGCCAAAGCAGAGCTTCTTAATGGAAGGGCCTTACTCAGGGCCAACTTTCTAACCACAGCACTTCCAAAGCCAGATGGATATTCCGTTAATAGAGAGGATTGTTCTTCTCCCTTCCTCTGTCGCTGAGACAGCAAAGCAGTTGGCCACCACCCCTTTTTATTGGCTTGTTTACCCCTCTTTAGTCTCCACAGAGCGAGTCAGATGCCACAGTCTTCCCCAGTTTGGCATGAAACTCCTGCCAAGGCTCCACAGCTGCCTAATCCTGTGCAACAATAAGGCGTTTCACTTCTTCATCCGTCGTGTCATCTTCCAGTTTCAAGAAGGATAAGTCCTGGATTGGGGCCTGAAAAAAAAATAGCACCTGGTGCACCAGCGTCTGATCCAAACTAATCTGGCGTGTGTCACCGTGGAATAATTGCTTTGCCGGGTGTTTGTGGGGAGAGATGCTTAAAAGTCGAGCAAAAATGCAAGGGTGGAGCTCTGCATGGTCTGGATTTTAACCGGCTTTTAAGGACCCAATAGAAAACCTTTTTATTTGTGATTGGACTATTAAAAGGCTAGCTGGCTGGCAGTCCATTTCTTCGCAGTTCTGAGAACTTTTCTTTCTTCAATCTGCACCTGTTTTAAACACACACACACACACACCCTACTTGACTGCACAGTTTGTGTCATAGCTCTGTATGGACATGATGGTTTAGCTGTGATTCCTGCAGTGCAGGGGGTTGGACTAGATGACCCTTGGGTCCCTTCCAACTCTACAATTATTTGATACTATGATATCTGTAGCTGGGCATTTTGATGGGGATGTGTGTAGGGTGGGGTGGGGGAGAGACTGACACACACACACACACACACACACACACACATGCATATACACATATTCCTTGAAGTTTCTTTAATGGTTTTAAAATTTAGGCAACAAAGGGTAATACTGGGTTTTGGGATTCTGGTTTTTTTTTAAACTGTATCATTTGTCTTGGATAAAGTATTTAAAACACTTTTTTTATCCTCTTCTAACCACAGCATGAAATAAAGCCTATGACACAGAGCTCGGCTGGAATTGTTTTATCATGGATACTTCATAGCTGGATTATGGGGAATAAAGATCCAATGGAAAGGGAGCAAGATTCACTGCTGAGAACTAGGGCTTGCGAAATTACAGAGCGAGATAGAGAGAAAGATTTGTGTTTTTTATCTGTACACCATAAACACAGACATGTATGCAGCTCTGGAGAATCACTGGGTGGATCCAGACCGCCTGTTTATTGGGTGTTCATCCTGATTTGCTTGTAGGGAAATTAGACAACATTGGATATGTCATGAACATTCATCCTGATTGGTAGATTAGGGAAAATTGCAGAGAAGAATTATTGGGAAAGTCGCACTATTATCTTGATGAATAAGGACTTGCTTTTTTGTTTTTTAAAATTGTAAACTGTGCAGAAATGATCGGAATTGTAAACTGGTGCAGAAATGATCTGAAAAAATGAGCAAGCGAAATAACATCCCTACCAAGTACCCAGGTGGGCAGAGCTGAGTCAGGTCGGGCCCACGCAAATCCACCCTGGTCCAACTCGGCCACCTGATCCACAATTACAGACCAGAGATATTTTCTTATGGACTAGCCTGTCTTTCAGAAACAGCACCACAAGGTTGGGAGGTAAGTTAGCATCACTTCCCAAGATTTGTTGCCTGGGGAGACTGGGGTATGTGTGGAAGAGGCGGCAGCCTGCAAACATATTAACTCTGCATCTAATCCCTTTGCAGAAAGCCTCCCTTTAATACAACTTTAGATGTTAATTTGGCTTTAGCAAAAACAAGAGGGGGTGGAAGAGTGTTGATGGCATGGCCCAGTGAGACCCTTGTGCGAGCGTCTTCTGCTTTAATGTTGGAGGAACAGACTGAAAATGAAGCAGGATAGCGTAGTATGTTGCAGATGAATGAGGGATGAGGGTGATGTAGCTGAACATCACCATCTGATGCAAACGGGGCAGTGAGGCGGGGATGGATGGGGAAGTGGGAAGAGTTGAGGCTTATGATGATAATCATCCAAAAGGCTCCCACTTTGGCTCTTAATGGGACTGTGTTACTTCAGCAGATAATGAACTAAAAAAACACACAACCTAGCACAGACCCAATGAGCCTTCTACAGCTGGAGCAATAGGCTCGTAATGCACTTCTTCAGCTAATAGGTGCTGCCATTGGGTTAAGAAAATTGAAACACTTTTTAATGTTAGAAAGGAGAATCAACAGACTGCCAAGTTTCTTTCTACCAATGCTTGGCACCGAAAAACTAAACAAGAGAAAAGAAAAGAGGGTGGGGTGGGGTGGAAATGGCATTCTCCCAAGATTACATTCAAGAGGGATTTAAATGGTGCTTTTTAAAACTATATTTACTTGGAAGTAAGATCCAGTAAAATCAATGGGCTGTATTCAATGCTAGTCCTGCCCAGAGTAGACCCACTGAACTCGGCATCCATTAATTTCAGTGGGTTGACTAAGTAGAACTTAGTTGGAAACAATCTGGTGGGATTTATTTATTCAGGAAATGTTTTGGGGATCTGCTTGGATGAGTTCAAAGGCACAAGGTCAGACTATTTGTCCATCTAGGCTGGTACTGCCTACTCTGACTGGCAGTGGCTCTCTGGGGTCTCAGGCAAAGATCCTTCTTGTCACTTATTATTCTTTCAGCTCAGGGATGAGGAAGCAGCATTGCTGGACTACAGTTCCCATTAGTCCCCACCCCAATCAAAATGAGCAATGGATGGGGATGATTGGAACTGTAGTCCAAAAGCACCTGGAGGGCAACAGATTCTCCATCCTTAGTGATGCCGGAAACTGAACCTGTGAATGTCTACCTGTTTGAGCTGCAGCTCCTGCAGGTGACAATCTACTGCTGGAAACAGAAACCTCAGCTCTTATTACCTTTTTAATTAGCAATTTTTTATTCCTCGGGCTCCATGTCCTGAACATCTCTTAGAACGCTGTATGGTCCTCTTTCACAAGAGGTGTTTAGGAACAGCAAATTTTTTCTTCGCTTGTTTTAAAAACTCCCATGTCTGAAATTCTAGTTGTGAAGGCTCCCTTTTTATTGTTGGAGTGAAAAATAAGTTTTCATCTTGCGGTAGTTGAACACATGCCAAAGAGTGTAATTTATGTGTGCCTTTAAAGCACTTGGCAATTCCTCGCCCACACAGAGGATTAAAAACTAGCTTTTCTATTTTAAAAAAATTGATGAAATACATAGGCATCCTTCTCTAGAGGGCTTAGAACACTGTGTTAAATAACATCACAGTAGCAAGTTCTGACTTACATGATCTATTTCTTTTTTCCCTGTTCTGAATGGTGTACTGGATTTTGTGGCATCAGATCAGTCTTTAGTCAAAAAGCAAATAATCCCCTTTGATCCCCTTTGAATGTATCACTTACTATGCTGGAACCAGGAGTGTACATACCATACACTTAAAGCACATGCATTCGCCCGAAGAATCAAGGAAACAGTAGTGTGCTAAGGGTGCTAGGAACTGTAGCTCTGAAGTAAACTATAGTTTGCAGGATTCTTTGGGGGAAGGCATGTATTTGGGGGAAGGGCCTATAAGCTTAAGCAAAGCCAGTTGGTCAGTCAAGTACAATCCGCAAGGTGCCGTAGCTTCCATTGGAATGATATTTCCTCCTTCTGCACATGTGAAGAGCAAGGAGAGAAATAACCATTCTCCTTCCTGAGAACCATGTAATATACTGCATGTCTGCACCATTCAAGAACTCTCCATCCACCACCTACTGGCACTTAGCCATGGTTGGCACATCTAATGTATCACAACTCCTTCTTAAGAGCAAACTCAAGTGGTGAGTGCAGGCAGGACTGTAGCTAAAATGGAGCCACAAGCAGGAGATTTTTTAGAGAATGCTCAGGAGGATTCCAAGGTTCGCGTACATAGGTGGCTGGGAGCCTTGATGAAGCCTAAGGAAGGCACCCACATACACAACAACCCCAGTGAGACGCCCTTGACCACATAATGTTGTGTGCCTGTAGAATGGAATGGAGTCCCCTGAACGTTTTGTTGAGGATCTCACTCGTTCCCTTGGATAGCTAACTGGGGTGCCTATCCATTTGGAGGCACCATCCAAAGTATGTTAGTACTATCGCCATACTCGGGAGATTGCTAAGCTACACGCAAGCATATGCATTTGTAAATTCATAGGGAAAAGGTTGAAACTACTAACCCCCAAACAGCCAGTAAAGGACATCTGAGTGTACAGGATGTACAGAATGGTACGGTTGTGGCTGGGGGGGGGGGGAATGGGGGGGAATGGGGAAGGAATTCATATCAAGTATCCTAGAGGGAAGGCTTAAGTATTGGGGTGGAGGAACTCATAATATGCCCCATGGGATTAAAAATCTCTCATTGCAAGACACAATGGGGTTTAAAGAGGGAATACAGGAAGAAGAAACCTTTCCTCTCTCACTCTGCATACTGCATCCACCAGCTATATAACCAGTGCTTTTCTTTCCCTAAAAAAATGTTTAGGGGTACTCTCATTTTCCTACTCATATTGAAATACTGCCCCTCAATGAGGCCAAACTTAGATTCACAAAATGTTTAGGGGTATGTGTACCCCTGCGTCCCCCCAGAAAAAAGCACTGTATATAACTGTTACAAGTTTTTTTTTGGGGGGGGTAGAATGTACACCCAGACCCTTCTAATTCCTGGGTCCAGCAAATTTTAAAATCTAAGCAAGGATTCAAATTCCTGGAATAGTAAGACTAGCTTTCTAGTGAGGTAATGGGCCGTTGAGGTAACAAAGGAAGTGGCTTCGTGCCAGATAGCCAATACAGCAGCGGATTTAGGGTAGTGTAGGCGGTTCCCCCACCACAGGGTGCTGAGCCAGGGTGTGTGCGTGAAAAAGTGAGAAGATCTGCTTGGGGGTGTCCAGTGTTGGCCTCACACAGTGTGCCATAATATGAAAGATTACCACAGTCCACCCCTGGCAAATAGGTGGCCTCCTCTCTTAACTTGCTGGTAGTTAGGAAGACAAAGCCCAGAGCTGAGAGTGGAGTTATGTGAGCTGGAAGCTGGAAGCTGGAAGGAAGCAGGCTGGGAAGCCAGAGGGTCAAAGCCATGCTTGTCTTCTGCCTGAATCCAAGGCTGTGGCTATGGGAGAAGCAAGACCCTCTGTAGGGTTGCCATATTTTGAGGAGCAAAAAAGAGGACACATTTGCTGACTTCTGCTTTTAACTATGGATAGCTATGACGACTCTCATTTTATATACCCATGGGGGGGGAAGAGGATGCGTCCTGGAAAAAGAGGACATATGACAAACCTATTTGGGATGTTAATGTTGTGGATCTGTGCTGCTCCTGAGGGTTAACCATGCAGCGAGGTCCGAGTCCAGTCCGAGGTCAAGGGTGTGGTATGGAGGCTGTCCATCAAAGCTGAAGCGGGATCCAAGGCAGGGAGTCGGGTGAGGTCAGGAACTCTGGCAGAAGAGCAGGACAGGGTTCAGGCAACCAACAATGTTGCTCCTGCAACCTGGGACTGGGGCTGACAGGCTTTTATCTGCCTTGAGACATAGGGCGGCCCCGGTCCACAGGTGACTCGCCTCTCCTGGCCTGGAGGCAAGCACTCCTCCTGTGGGAACTTAGTTCCCTCCACCTTTCTGCCCTGAGCCTCTGCAGCTCAGGAGAGGCTGGAGGGTTACCCGACCCAGAGGCAACCTCAGCTTCCTCTGACGGGGCTGAGAGTGGAGCACCTGCAGGCAATGGGTCCTCCATCACCTCAGGAGCCAGAGCAGATTCAGCTGGTGTCTGCTCCTGAGGATCCAGCACAGGTGAGAACCCTTCAGGCTCAAGCCCCAGCCCCGGCTCAGCTGGTTCTGGAGGCGGGGACTCCTGTGCAGGCTGGGATTCCTCAGGTTCAGCCTCCGAGTCTGAATCCCAGGCCATCACACCATCTTTCCATCACAGGTTCAGGTTATATATACGTGGCTCTGCTCCTTGCTAATAAAAAGAACTTCCAAGGGGTCCAATGAGGAGGGCAGTGCATGGTGGCATGGCTGGATTAGGCAAGGAAGAGGGCCTTCCCAGCCCCTGGTACCCTTGGTCAGTGCCTGACTTAACCGACCATTGGTGCTGGGCCTGAGAGAGAGAAGTTGGCATTTTCAAAAGGTGTCCATTCAGCTGATCAGCTTTTAAAAAGCCAGCTAACTTCCTTCATGCAGAACCACCTAGAGCGAGTGAGATAATTTCCCCCATTAGTAAGGCACCTCTAATTCCCCACAGCTGTCGCTGATGTTCATAACTCTGGAAATTTTGCTGATACTTATAACCTCTCTCTTTGACAAGTAACCAAAGAAAATTAGTTATCTTCTTAATGTAA